GGGGGGGGGGGGGGGGGGGGGAGAGGATGTGGGGTCGAAAACCCTGTCAAAGTGGTATGCCCATCGGACTCACCGGCTGTCGCTGTCGCCGATGCATGAGGTGAGAGAGAGATAGACGGCAATCGTCTAACTCCAATCTCGGAAGACATCGATGATGGCGACAACCATCGTTTTATGTATTTTCATCTTCCGCAGAAACGAGAGAGAGAGAGAGAGAGAGAGAGAGAGAGAGAGAGAGAGAGAGAGAGAGAGAGAGAGARAGASAGAGAGAGTGAAGGAAGGAAGACTGCGGCCCCAAAGTCATCGCAGCATGCCGTCATACAGCGGTATCAGAACGAAATTCCCTCAGTTTTCCAAAAAAACAATCTCTCCCTTCCCCATATCCACCTGGCTTCCCTCCCCTTCCGTTCTGTCCCACCATGACCCAGTTCATGCCACCACTCCTCCTCTGAGCATCGTAGCATCCTCGACACTGCGTTTCGTCCGCCTACGTGCGGACTCCTCAGGAGGTGGAATCCAGTCGGATTCCTTAGCTCAAGGCAGCTTCGGCCGTGCTGCCCGTACAAATATTGTGGCCCTTCCCCCTCTGTCCCTTCCCCCGGACCCGACGCAGCTGCTAACTTCAAGAAAATTTAAAAACTACAATTATTCATTTCAAGAAGTCCCTGGGCTTACCGCCAGGACTCCGCCGTGAGTCCCTATCCAGCCTATTCCCCTGCATCCTTCGATTTCGGCCTATCACCTCGCTTTTCCCGAATCTGGCCCATATTCGTTTCTGCAGGGCCTCTCTCGGACCTTTTCCTGCCTCTACTCTTCTCTGTGTCCCCTTTTCTTACCCCATTTTCCCAGTACCCTGTTTTCTCAGTACTCAACCCCTGTTTTCCCCTTCCCCTCCTCCCTCCTTCGTCGTTTCTCCCCGAATGTCAAGCTCAGCACCTGCCAGAGCCTACGCAGGTTCTGATCGTCTGCAACCTTGACCAACTTGGCCAAGGCACCAAGAGAGACCTCCGGGGCATAGACCCGGAGGTTTGCTTCCCATAATGCGTATGCTATGGAACTCACTACCAGGACCTGGCATGACGTGGACGGCCACAGCCTTTTCAAAGTGGCGGCCAAAGTTGACTTCTTTGATCTCTTCTCAGAATATGATGCGAAATCTTGCATCGTCTGGAATCTCAGCCTCTCCTCCTCTCGCAGAGACGCTTGATTTTTCGTGTCCGGTACGTACAACAGCCTGCGGTGCTGCTGCATCAGATAAATAGTCCCCCCGAGGAAATGCCACCAATCCCTGTCAGCATCCTTTCTGACGAGACTCGGATTCTTGTCGTAGCAGTTCTCCAGATCACGGAATAAGCTGCCGGTATCCTCTCGCCCATGCTCTTCCCCTCCTCCCCTGTTCCCCACGATGACTGTGATGTCATCGACTATCCTCCATCCTGCGACTAGCTTTCGATCAGAGCCTAGTCCCCTCAGACAATTGAATTCCGCCATGGCACATGTAATCGTTGCCAGCGTCGGGCTGCTGGATTTCCCCATCGGGATTTCCGACGCTTGCCTCGTCACGATCTCCCCACACTTAATATATGCATGGTCCAAATCATAGTTGACCATGCTGAACAACTGTTCAAACTGTAGCCCGACGTAACCGTCTGCCATTTTCCGTGTCTTACTGATCGTACACAGCTTCCCTCTCCTTGATACTTTCACCTGTTTCCATCCCCTATTCGCATACCACAGTAGCATTTGCCAGATTGCTTTCCGTACTGCCTCATGCGGTATCTTAGTGAACATATCTTTGATGTCATAGCACCGTCCTTCTACTCCCGTGCATCCCATTTCAGTGAACCTTCTCTGTGTTGTTTCTAGTCTTCCTGGTAGCTCCTGAATCGCATTCAAATAGAAGGATTGCTCTGTCGGGAACATCTTGATGAGATAGTGCAAACACTGCAAAGCCTTTGCGACTCTCTTCTGCGCCAAACTGGCCGGGTCGTTATCCGTTGGAGCGATCGGTCTCCACCTTGAGAGATCCTTGTCTTTCGATATCACGCACGCTTGTCCAATCCTGTCGTCGGTCTTCCATCTTGCAATCTTCTGCAGGTCCGCTTGTTCAAACTTCTGGCGTGCTGTCTGCAGAATCCTCTGCTCCTCTTCTCTTACCACCACGTAATCAGAGTTCCATACGAAAGTCTTCCCGAATGCATGTCGGTATATCACCGGGCATATTACGGCCGTGTCGCCCTGATTCCAATCGATCGGAGCCAACACCATGCCTCTAAATCTCCTCGCCCAGGTTGCCACTTTCCCCTCCTCCCACGTCTCCTGCTTTGTATTCACCTCCGTATCCTTTACGAACCCGCCTACTGGTACGTCCACACCATCCGCTTTTCCGCCCAGGTAGCCGGTCCCCTCTACTATGACTTGTACGTAATGCTATGTACTCCTTACTTGTGACTGACTCGTCACGTTTTTGGCGTTCTTCATGAACGCCGGGATCCCTTCCAGATCTGAAAAGCGCGTCAGCACGTGTCCACCCTTTGTCGGAAGTCCCGTTCCCCTGCATGCACATTGTTGCTTCCCAACATTCGCGTGCTTCCGGTGATTGTAGATGATCTCCCCGACCGTTCGATTTTTGCGCCACATAATCTGTATCTTGCTCTTAGCGATAGCCATGTCTTCCACTCGTTTCTCCACCACTCCCTCTGTTGCCGCTCTGATCTTGTTCTTCACGATCCTTCTGTCATACCTCACCTTCACCACCACCCTCTTCCGTACTCCCGCCCCATTCTTTCTCCTTATTGCCCTGTCTATTTTCAGTCTCACATCGTTTTTTGTCTTCTTGTCTCCGAAGAGAACTGCTGCTCGATACATCCCAACTAGTTGGTTTGTATTCCCTAGTGTCAGCTTCTTGAATTCGAATGGTCTTTTCAACATCCCACGTAACTCCTGTAGGTATCTGGCTGTAGTGGTCTTCGTCTTCACGATCTCTATGATGGTCGCCGTTGCTCCTTGCCGTAGCTCTCCCTTAGCTTTCGCCATGGTATTCACTTGTCCGTTTATTCTTACCTTTGTCATCCCAAAGAGCCTCTTCACCTTCTTCCACCCGTCACTCCATACCTCTCCTCCGTGGAACACCATTCTTCTTTCCCCCTTCGCCTCCTTCTTCCACTCCTCCTCTAGCCATTTCATCGCAGATACCCGCTTCGCATTCGTACCCGACCTGCTGAAACTGACCAGGTTCTTCACCTTCTGTGCTGTACGGTTCAACTTCCGTCTTTCTCTTCTCCCCTTCCGTTTGCTTTTCTTCACTCCGTTGTTCATTGTCTTGTTGTTGCATGTGTTCAGGATCGGAGAAAAATCTCGAATCAAGTGTTTTTCCATGGCCCGATCGTGCGCTTCATCAGCGTGTCGCAGCGGTACGATTAGAAACGTCTCCTTTCCGAAGTGCCGCATCCACCTATACAGTTTCGGCGAGCTCCCGATCGTATCCGTATCTGCATTGCTCAGGTGCTCTCGCCACCTTTGCAATACGCTTCGAACTGTACTACAAACGTACATTTTCTTCGACCATGGTGACATGACTACATAGACACCCCCTTCCTTCAAATCTAGCATCTGCGGATTAATTTCCGCTGTCGCTACGTACTTCGCGAGCCATGGTATTTGCCCCCTCATAGCGAGCAATACCGTTGTTGTCGTGATGACCCGTTCCACCGTGGCTAGTTGCTCGCTGCTCCTGCCCTGCCCCCAGAGGGCTGATCACGTCTCCATGTGGGAGGTCAGAGTCTCCCATAGGGTCCCGCTTGTAGGGGGCACAGATAGTCATCCCGACTCCTGCTGTTTCTGTTTCGCTGCTGATCTCAAAGTCACTCTCGCGGGAGCTAACTTCACTGATGATCTCGTTCCTCTTTTTTCTTGTTCGTATAGATCCTCCCCCAGATTCGCCTCCGCCATCTCACTCATCTCCCTCTGTTCGTCATTATCTTCGAATCCCTCATATGCTAACTTGACTTGCTCCCTCGCGAGGGCATCAACCATCTCAGGTTTCTTCGTGTCTTTTATGCCTTTTTTCTGGCATAGCTTACGTAGTATCAACACTTTTTTCGATGACAGAATCTTCTGCGTGGAGAGGCAGTAATCGATAATGCCCTCCCGCGAAGCACTTAGCGGCCAAGTCCTTATAACCCTTCTCCATCGGGGTTCTTGGCTCATTCCCCTGCTCATTTTGACCTCGCTCGGCATCCCAAACCTCAAACCCCCTACACGTGGCGATCTCCGACAATCATTGAACCTGACTCCTGTCTCCTTATAATCCCCGCCCATATCGTTCGCATTTCTCATGACATCATCCTCGTCATCGCGATTGCACCTCTTCTTCTTCCTTGCCCGTGAACACTCACCGCGTTTCGTAGTCGGTACGTTATTCTCCGACGTATTCGTTTTCGTTTTCGCCTGTTTTCCCTTTCCTGTCTTCTTTATTCTCCCCGTCCTCTTCTCTTCCCTCTTTTCCCTCAGGCGTTTAATCGTACGTCTCAGCTCTTCTTCCGAGTCTCTGGTGTCGGTTTCATCCCCGATGTCGGAGGTTTCCTCACTCTCCGACTCGGTCGATGACACCTGGCGCCTTCGTTTCCTAGGCCCGCTCGCGGATGCTTTAGCCTTGAGTGCTTTCATCCTCGTTTGCTCGATCTTCGCCCGTGCTTCCTCTGCATTCGCTTCTGCCTCCTCGGCCTTCGCCTTTGCCTCCTCCGCTTTCGATTTTGCCGCTGCTGCCGCTTCCTCTGCTTGCTTCGTTTGCTTGCGCCACTTCTCCTCTAGTCCTGCTTCTAGCTGCGATCTCATTTCCTCCGTCTGCAGAATTATGTCATGTTCCCGTCTTCTCTCGTTCTCTTCTTGTATTCTTTTCTGCTCCTCCTCTCTCCTCTTCTCTTCGGCTTCTCGTTTCTCCTTAATCACCATCCTGTAATGTTGTCTTATCTCCTCAAGCTCGTTGTCTTCGTTGCTCACTTTCTTCATCCAACAATCCCACGAGTAATGCCCGACTTTTCCGCACGTGTAGCATACCTGCTGCCTTCCTCCGTAACCACTCCCTCCGTTGTTTTCCCCCTAATACCCGTTTCCTCCGTTATTCCCTCCTCCATATCCGCTGTTATTGAGGGAAAAGAGGGAAGAGAAGAGGACGGGGAGAATAAAGAAGACAGGAAAGGGAAAACAGGCGAAAACGAAAATGAATACGCCGGAGAGAGAGAGAGAGAGAGAAAAAAAAACAGCGATTCAGAACGCCGTACCCCCCTGCATGTATCTGGACTCTGGCTGAGTCCAAAAACATCGAGGGGGTAGGGCGTTTTCAGAACGCCCTACCCAAAATTTCATCAAATTTTGGCTGCAGTTTGGACTTTCAATTTCGTACAAAAAATAAAAAATGTTCGTTTTGACGAAATCGCTGTTTAGAGAAAGAGAAAGAGAGAGAGAGAGACGGTAACGTTGCAACCGTACGACAGGGCTTCAACGTCACGGCGACGTCTGCCTTCAGGTTCGAAGCACCTCAGCCGACCGAACCATGTCAGTAGTCCGCTCCCTGCATCGCCCCGTGCCACATGGGAAACGCCCACGTGCACGCAGACGTGCCACCCTTCAGTGGCTTCTCGTCAGGGGATGGTTGCTGGAATGCGCTGTCACGCGTCTTGCCTAAAACAACCGTGCCGTTTCACCCGCACAAAAAAAAATATATAAAAAGAAATAAAAAAAATTAAAAAAATAAAAGTGAAACCAATCGAAAAACAAATAAAATAAAAATACAAAACGAAGTGGATGCATGAACATGGACATCGTGCTGTCCGGATGCATGAACACGGACATCGTGCTGCAACGATGGGTTTCCTCAGCTCACGGCCTATCGGGTCCCACATCTGAAACGACAAATCGGGGTGGGACCGGTAGGCCGCGAAAAACCGGTCGCGCGACAAAACAAATTGCGGTCGTGGCCTACCGGTCCTTCGACAGTTTCTAAGTGGTGGGGGGACCGGTGGTTTAAAAGACGAGGACTTAGAATGAAAATTCAGCTTTTGAGTGTGTTTAACCGCATTGAACTTCGTAATTGGAGCAGGGAAGTGAAATTTATTATTCGAAGACGGAATCACAGAATGTCCGAGCTTTGGCATGATGAAGGCGAGACACAAAATGAAAAACTGGATACTCAACGGCTATGTGAAAGGTTGTTCAGAAATTGAAGGGAAATGAGAAAGAGAGGAATTGGAGCTCACTCGCATTCGATTGGGAAAAGGGGTCATGCTTGTGAGTGAGTATGCGGCCCTAGACTGAAGAGGGACCAAGGGGAATTTTTACGCCAGAGGCTCGATCGGAGAAGGCCACTATGAAAGGGGAAAACTCGATATATCGACGTTCGAACGACATTCGTGGAACGATGGTTGATGGATCTTCCAAATTGGCCGAGTGTCGGGCTGTCAGCGGGGGGTTGGACTCGTTTGCGGTCACAAGTTTGAAATGGAAAGCATGAGGGCTGATTCAAAATCTGATGTAATATTTAAAGCTTGTGATAGCTTCGTCACTAGGCCGCTGCATTTTTTCGACAGTGTGGCCTGCTTCGTGGAACTCATACCTGTTTGGTGGACGAATTAAGCTCGGGCACTGGCTCAGAGGTAGGGACGGGACTGGGGCGCTACAATCTTCTCGACAGCGCGCCCGACTCTTGGTGGTATCAATGGGCTGGAGGCTGCTGCTGCTGGGCCCAACAAAGTACTTAAGCTGAACTGGGCCTGTTCTTGGGGGATCCTAGGAGAATACTGGACAGGCTGGCACACGGGTGTGTGCTAGCTCTCTACCGACCACACACAAGAGTGTACTAGTGAAGGGGGAGGTCCTGCACCGAAAAGGCACGACCTAGCACGACCGAGAGGAGCAATGAACGGACTAATTAAGGATTCGATTTGCGCACTGCTAGGGGAGGGAAGTGTGCTGGTCCCTAGGTGCACCAGTCTGGATCTGGGGCATTCAGAATGTACCTGTACAGCGTACGCTCTAGCGAACAGGTACAATAGTGCATCGAAAGGGCACGCTCGGGAGATTCGATCAATGCACGAGGCCTCCCTTCCAGCGACAAAACTGATTAGGAGCGAATCAATCAAACGGACTCGAAGGACATTGTGCGCTAGAGGTGCGCGAACTATGCACTGAGGAGAGAACCAATGGAGCGACCAATTATGCTGATCGGGCGCAAGAAAATTAACACTCTGAAAAACAAACGGTCAAACCTCATCCACACACGGAAAAAAAGACATGGTGACATCTGGGTGTTCCCGCACTGAAGGTGACACGGCTCCGGCGCTGTGATCAAACAAAGAAACGAGTGTGTGATCACAGCTGATAGATCAACCCACGAACATAGGGTACACCGATGGGTAGCGAGAAGGCGCGCGTTAGCGCTAGCACTAGCGCTATGGCTGGCGGACGTCAGGCCGCCGTGGCACGCGGATGGTGGCATGCTGGTTGCTTGCACGCGAGGCGCTGGCTGGTCGGAGGTGGCGGGGCGCTGGCTTTTCGCAGGTTGCGAGGCGCTGGCTTCTCGCAAGTGGCGAGGTGCTGGCTGCGTGAGTGCAGCGAGGCGCTAGCTGCTGGCAGGGGGCGAGGCGCTGGCAACAGGTGAGTGGTGGGGCGCTGGTGACTTGCGACTGGCGAGCCGCTGGCTTGTGGTGACTAGTAATATACTAGGACTGACGAGGCGCTGGCTTGTGGTGACTAGTAACATGCTAGCTGACACGTGGCGCGGTGCTGGCAGCCGACGGGAGGGAGGCGCTGGTGCGAGAGTGTTGTGATGTTGTGAAGTAGATGGGGGTTAGCGCTTGACGCACGCGCGGTATCCAGAGGCGTTGGGTCATTACTACGTCACAGGCTGACGTGGCATCTGGCCTGAGGCACATAGGAAAAGGGAGAATGGTAGCAGCAACTGTTGTTTGAACATTTTCCCTGTGTTTTTCACATGAAGTACTCCATAGCCAAGACCTTTAAAGAGGCTGGAGAGCTCATGCGAGTTGACGAAAGTCGATGTCGATGGAGGAAAGTGGAGTCAAGCCCGTGGAGACCAAAGTGCAGAGAATGTTGGTCCTACTTGAAGAATCATCACAGTGCCACTGGGAGAGTATCATCAAGAGAGCGGCTAGGAGGTCATCATCAATCTATATATGTGCTTTCGTCTGTTTTTTGTCTTGTGCAGGTTATTCATCAAGGGCATGAAGATTGTCATCATTGTCATTTCAGAGGGGGGTTTTCATCAAGAACACCGTCATTTTTGTAATCCTCATTTGGTTACCAGTGGTAATCATCATCGACTTCTCTAATTCGTCATCCATGTTATTTATCTTCTTTTTATCTTTTTCCTAGTCATCATCCAAACTTCTCTGTAAAAATCGTAATCATCGTCATCTTCTATTTTTATTACAACAATAGTGAGCTGTCAATCTTCCACACCGATGCCATTAGGGTATCGCAAGTCCAACGTTCTTTATTTATTTTCGCCAATTTTATTTCATCATCATCATCATCATCATCATCATCATCGTCATCATCATCATCATCATCTACCAATCTGAATCTTTATGATCATCATCATCATCATCACGGTTTCGTTATTATTTTTTTTGTCAATCAGTAGTCATCTCTGTGTTTGTGATTATATTCTCATCTCCCAGATAGGCTTTGGTCTAGTTGGTAGGTAGGTTGGTGAGGAAGGGAGCGTTACTCTGTAGGGGTAACACAAGGTGGGAGGTGATTGCCCTCCAGGGAGTAGACGCAGACGATGGGAGCTGACCTGGGCTGGGGCTGGGAGATATGTATGGGGGCGCATTATCTCCTGGCAGAGGCAGACTAGGTCAGAGTGTTAGTTTTGAGGTACACCTTTTGGGGGAACTGGTTACCTCAAGGTAGAAGGGAATGGGAAGGTTCTCTCTCTCGTTGGGGCTGATAGGAACTTCATACTGATAGCGGGGTTCGGCTCAGCGGAGGCAGCGAGAGGAGAAGAGGAAATGAGGGGAGAGGAGGAGAATACATGGAAGAAGGGGAGGGGTGGAGAGAAATAATCATCAGCGTCATCATCATTATCCATCATCTTTGTGATCATCTCAGGGTACTCGACAAATTTCATCATCAGAAAGTTTTGCTGATAAAGATTCTGATATTATCAGATCCTTGATTTCTGGTTGGCATTCTAGATTAGCTAATTTCCTAATTGAGTCCTCTTATGTAATGGCCAGGTTGAGTTGGCACCAGAACGACGCTAGCCGGCGCTGGGGCAGTGCCCTGTAACCTGCTTGTGTAGGAGCTTGAGGCTTTGTATAGAGGTCTGAAATTGCCGAGGGAGGAAGGCAATCTGCAAACTTGACTAATGACTACTATCTGACCAACGATGGTCGGAGCTGGGGTGGGTAGCGCTGCCCTGTAACCGAGCCAGATTGGGGTGTAAGACCGGGAAGAGGCCTGATTGGTGCACAGCACGGGCTCAATTGTAATTGGTTGTTTGGAATGGATACAGGAAATTAGGGACAGGATAGTAATTCAGTAGACAATCTTTCTGATTAGTCATCATCTAGCTCTATTTCATGACCTCAATCACCCCCTCTGACATCCTAAATCATCCAAAATGATCCTCAATCATCCTAAAATTTCATCAATTGTCAATCATTAATGTATTTCCATTATAAGGGAAGCTGGGCCCGGTTCCCATCACTTGTTGCAAGTGACGGAGGCACTGGAGAGGAAGATACAGAAGAAGAAGAGTTGTGCCGTAGTGGGAGGGAGCGTGAGAGCATGAATAAGCCAGAAAGCAACGAAGTGAACGCGACAAAGTCAGAAAGCAATGAGGAGAGCCTGGCTATTACGAGCGCTGCTCGCGGATACTTGGATTCGCATGCAAGGGCGAATTGGTGCGCAAGTGAAAGAGAAGGCAAGGAGAAAAATGTTGAGAGTGCGGAGCTGGATTGAGAACAACCAGGGGAGGAACGCAGGCAGGACCATCAGGGTTGTGCACAGATGAGAAGAGCTGCACGGACCGATCATGGCTGCACGTGAATGAAAACAAGTTGTGTGTGAGGTTAGA